ACGTCCTGGCCCCAAGAGTGGGCCATCTTCCACTCCTCCCGGCAGCACCGCTGTTCCTTGCTGACCCCTGACCCCCTGCTGGGGAGGAAGGCAGGGAGGGACACCCACCTGGGGATGAAGGGCTGATCCAGCCTTTTCAGTTCCTGGGGGACGTTCTCCCAGCCAGCACGTTCATGGAAACCCAGCTTTGAGGGGGGCTCCTCAGAGAGATCAAAGGTGGCGTTGAGGTCCCGAGCAGGCGGGGCCAGAGGAGTGGAGCAGTTCTGCAGAGCAGAAGGGCCCAGAGGCACCCGGCTTTTGATGACTGTGGCTGGGCAGAATCGAGGAGAGTGGCAAGGAGAAGAGACCCTTCTCCCTTTGGGGGTGGTCGGTCCCAACAAAGGCTGAGCCTCAGGCAGAGACCCCCTCCTCAGGCAGGGCAGGAAGGACTGGCGCTGGCGCTTGGTCCCCGGCCTCATGGCTGGGGGACCGTCTTGCTCTGAGGGGCTCAGCCTCCTCCTCCTCTTCTTCTCCACGGGCCGTGGAGATATCTGGGCTGGGGTGTGGTCTGGCTCATGTGGGACCCCCAGAATGTGCATGCGGCCACTCAGTTGTCTTGCCATGGTCCTGGTCACAGGGCCCGAGTATCCTGGAGACTCTGAGCACAGAGAAAGAGGGTGCTGAGGGGAGATCAGGGACTGGCCAGAAAAAAGGAGAGTTTCTAGAATTTGAGGAGAGACACTGGAGACATGCAGGAGTCCCTAATTCCTCAATCTTGCCATGACTCCTGGGGCCTCTCTGTGTGCAGAAGTCTGTGATCCCAAGGGTCTAGCCTCCTGCCACAGCATAACCTGGCATCAAAGGCCCTGGCCACCCCTCAGCACCAATAGGCAGAGGCAGAGCAGGGGCAAGACTCACTTGACTCTGAACACAGCTCCTGTGCCAGGGGTGCACTCTTGGCCAAACCAGGAGCCCCCGAGGCCTCCGTTGCAGGCCCAGTGTTTTCCTCTTGCACCAGCTGCTGCAGGGTCTCAAATTCTGCGATCATGTCAGGGGTCAGGAGGTTGGCTGCTTGGAGCAGGGCGTACTGCCGCTGGGCCAGGCGCAGCACCTTCAGCGCCAGCCTGGAACAGAGGAAAGGGGGTCCCCGCCCTAGTCAGACCTGGCTGGCCAGGGTCCTCTCTGCCATGCACCTGGCCCCATTACTCCAGGCGTGGTGAGGAGCACATGTGGGCTAGCCCCCGGCTCCCTCCTGCCTTGCCCCAGACCGGCTGGCCGGCCTCTGCACCATTCCAGCCATGGCTCCTGCTCTGCCATAGCCTTGCTGAAGACCAAACCTGGTAGAGGTGGTCACAGGTAATGGTGGGAGGCTTTAGCCACTAAACGTGGCCCCTGGACAAAAACAGTGACCTGGGAAGTAGGGAAAAGGCAGTAAGTGGCCTTGGTATCTAATGTCAGAGTTTAAGAAGGTCTGAGTTTCCTCACAGTTCTGCCACCTACTCGAGCTTTGACTGAGTAAATTCAGTTACCTGAGGGGCAGTGAAAGGTAGCAGTGAAGGGCCAGGCTCAAGTCAGAATGCCAGCCTGCCTGCTCAAATCCTGGCTCCGACAATTCTCAGCTACATGAGCTTGGATCACTGCTCACCCCTCCCTTGACATGGAGATAACAAGTGCACCCACCTCACCGGGCTATTGGGAAGATGAAACAAGTTACTCTACACAGAGTACCTGGCACGTAATGAGCACGATAAGGTTAGTGAACTCTTGTTTTCTGTAAAATAGAAGGAATGCCATCTACCTTGTTAGGGGAAGAGGAGATTAAATAAGATAGGCCATGTGATCTTCGTTCTGAGAAGACCCTCGGAAATGCATTCAGTCTGCGCTTTCTATTTAACGGTTGGGATCCTGAAAGAGTTCGTGTGTGATTCAGCGAATACTTCCCATGCACTGAGGGGCTATTTAAGGAAAATTATGAGGGTAATGAGATTATTGATGTTGTAAATTTAGATTCTAATAAAGCAAATTTCTTTTCTGTCAGGCAAACCTATGATAAAAGAATAAACACAATTATCTCAGTGGGGATTAGCCATGACCAATAATTTATCCTCAGGTAGCATAATCTACTACCTGCCTGGACACCTCTGAGCCTCCTCCTCTGCCCTCAGTGTGTGCTCAGGGAACCCAAACTCATTTTCTAAAGCAGCCTCGAGGCCTTTCTGAAAGAAAGCAGGAAATAAATTTAAAAGGACACAGCAGAAACTCATTCTATATCCGCCTGAGCCACACATTTGAAGATTAGAGACTAAGAAAAGTGGGTGTTTGGGGAGAAATGCACTGGGCAGGATGTCAGATGACCTGACTCTGCCCCGTCCCTCTTGCTGTAGTTGTGTGGCCCCAGGAAAATGCCTCAGTACCCTATCTGACAAATGGGGACTTGGTCTATATCAGCGATTTTCAAATTAGGACCAAAAAAAAAAAAGTGTCCGAGGACACTTTAAATGTAGCAGCTCTGCTTTATCTGTTCTACATATTAGACTTCAGCATAAGATTTCATGTGAAGAAAGGACTTTGCAGCTGAAAAAATGCTTAAAACCATTGAGCTGGAAAATCTAAGATTGACTCAGTGCCCTGGTGGTCTCAGATTCTAAAGTCTAAAGCCGAAGAGAAATTATTTTTGATTATTTGATTGTTAGGGTGTTTCTAAGTTTGGAGATGATCTAGAATGTTCTTCAACCTCTAATACCCATGGTCTTCTGTCACGTTTTATTAGCACTTCAGTTCAAAGATGTAGGGAGAATAAGGGTTAGATCCCCAAATCATAGCCAAGACTGAAGCAACTTGTCGAAGGCCACAACACAAGAGGCACAGCAGAAATGAGAACCCTGGTGTCCTCCCTCCTAGCAATGGGGGACACCAAGCAGAGAGATCCGAAGTCATCAATGGGAGCCTGTGGATGTTCCCTGAGGGCCAAGGGGATATCCTGCCAGTGCATCCCTGCCGCTCCTGGGTCCCAGGGAGTCAGCAGTAGGAGACAGATAATAAGCTGCTGATTATTCAGGCTGCAGCGTTTTTGCTGAGTCGGGAACAGACACTCCCAACAAGAAATAAAATTAAACAGGCCCTTCTGTCCAGAAGCTTTAAATACACTGCCTAGCGTGAAGCATGCTGGGGAGGGCAGAGTGGGGTTGGCAGCAGCAGAGCTAAGTGGCAGGGGATTTATGTTCTGGGGGCCAAGGGGAAAAAAAAAAAATACTAGCAGCATCTCTCTATTAAGCACAGAAAGAATGGTCCAAAATCCATTTCTCTTTGGCTTTGGGTAGTGGTTAGTATTTACTTCTGAGAAGAAAACAGCTACAGTCAATCTGTTGAAGACACAATAGTAAACACCTGACTCAGGAAGGCTGTCCCTCCCTCGGCCTGCCACCTGACTTCTCTTGGCTGCTCCCTCCTTGCTGAGGACGGGCAGCTTGGCCCTCAGAATGGAAAGCAAAGCACTAGCCCAGGCGGCCTGTCCTAACTCGGTGCTTGCCAGCTATCTGGATGGAGTTTGGTGTTGTGCTTCCCTCCTGCTGGGCTGCCAGCTACATGGAAGAATAAATAGAGAGATAAGTAAACAGAGTAGATGATAATATCAAGGCGTTGAAAGCAGATAAGGGACAGTGATGATGAAAAAAGACTCTTAACTAGGACAGAACCAGAGCTTTCGTGACTTAGCACCAACTCCTACCTCAGGAGGCTGGAATGCATCATCTCCCACTTTGGACCCCAGAGAACAGCAAGAAGACACTTACTGCTTAGAACTATCCCCTTCCAGGTTTTGTGGTGAGAGGTGGTCCATGACTGGCTTGGGCTGCAGAGTCAGGCCAGGGGACCCTGGCGGAGGGTGTCCGAGGCTCTGCTTTGGCACCTGGATTGGAACCTGAAGAGGAAGTCACAGGTAGAGAGCCCAGGATGGCCTCGCTCCCTAGGTAAGCAGCTCTAAAAATCTTTCCCTCCTCCCAAAGTGGGAATGATAGCTCCTGGACTGGCCAGGTCTTGGTGGGGGCTTTCTTTCTCCTAGCCAGTGTCCACTCTCCCTGCTCCCCTGCTGGCAACGCACATGCTCCTCACTTCCAGACACACAGGATCTGACAGAATAGCTCTCCTTCCTGCACAGGATCTGAAAGCCTCCTAATGACTAAGATGTGACATCCAGGTAGAGAACCTGGGACTGAAGGGACTCTGTGAGTTGGGAGGGGCATTCCACGAGCTCTAGGTCCTACCTCCTGGGCTGGGCCTTCATTCTTGTCCTCAGAGGCCTGCTCCTGGTCTGAAGAGTTCCCTTTCATGACCCTCTCCACCTGGGCCTCTGTCCCCAGGCTGTCTTCTTGAACGACTGCAGGCCCTGGGTGGAGTTCCGGGGTGCGGGGCTGGCTGGGAAGGCAGGATGGTGGGGAGGAGCTGGGAAGACTAAGGAGGAAATGAGGGGTTTGAGAGGTGGGAAGTAGGGGTAGGTGGGAAAGTGGGGAGGAGGCAGGTAAGACCAGGTGATAGAGAGCTCATAAAGGATGGACACTTGGGTAACAAGTGGGCAGAAACTGAGGGGGGAAGAAGGAGTCAGGAATTTTCTGGTTTAGGAAACAATGATGCCCAGCCCTTAACTGCACCTTCTTTTTGAATAGTAGATGCTGCTTATATGGCTGTGGTGTTATTTACTCATTTAATGCAGAGCATTCTAGGTGACAATCAGTGTGCTGGGCACTGGGTGGGAACCCCTAACCCTAGGTGTCATAACAGAAGCAAGGAGACCTAGCCTTCCAGAAACTAGAGAAGGGGGGCTTTCCCTGCCAAGCTGAAGGACGGGGCAGGTATGGAAGCAGAACTCACGGCTGTTGTGGAGAGCCCGATCTGGGGGGCTGTGGGAGGTCCTGTTGTGGGCCCCGGGCTCCCGCCTCATACACTTGAAGCTTCTCCCTCAGGGTGGCCACCTGGAACCGAAGTAGCCAGCCCCTCAGAGTCTCAGGTGAGCAAAGGAAGTGGGGAGGGGGAATAGAGCCTTGACCACACCCCAATGCTTCTGTCTCTTGCTTTCCTGCTCCTAAGCCAGGGCACCCTGTCTCCTGGCCCCAGGTGGACTCCTCACCTCAGCCTGGAGTTGCTGGCAGATGGTGGCGTACTGGCTGAAGTGACAGTCCAGGCTGATCGTGTTGCTCTTCAGCTGAGATGGGAGAACAGGGGAGAGATCTGTTTGTTCATTCGAAGCAGCTTTAAGCAACCACTTCCAATGGCCAGGCACTGCGCTAGGCGCCTCACTCATATCCCCATGACTCACGCTCATGACTGGGGAACAGAGCAGGGAAGGTCAGAAGCTCACCTGAGACCACAGCAAGAGGCAGAGGTTGCCTTTGAACCCAAGACCCCTGGCTGCCTGACCAGTGCACTCTCGCCAGGCCAGGAGCTTTTCAGAGCACCAGGGCTCCCTGGAGGAGGCAGGGGAAAGTGAAGCAACCCTGCGTTTCCCTGTGTTACATGTTGGTGTTTATGTTTTGCGGAAATACGGTCCTGCTGCTAAAAACGAGTCTAAAAAGGTCACTAGCCAACACACAGCCACCCTGTCCTATTGCCTCCCTCTTGAGATGATTCTGCTTCAGTCATCCCAATGCTGTGATATTTTACTCTTTTTCCAAGTCTTGGAGAAAATTTTGCCTCTCCCCTAACTGGAGTGTTCCTAAGGATGAGGACTGTGTCACTTCTCCCACAAAGAGAGAGACTAGGGAACGTCTTCCCTCTGCCTTGCGGGAAATACTTGTTCCAGGCACCAGAGGGAGCCAGTGGGTGGGTCCTGTCCCATCCTCCTCCCAGCCTGCCGGCCCCGACACCAGGCTGGCTGTTCCCAGCCCCCACACACACACGCACCGAGAGTTTGATTTCCTTGGCCCGGTTGGCGTACTTGAGTGTGTTATAAGTGTCCTCATAGGTCAGGCCAGAGGGGCTGACGGCAGCGATCATCACTGTGCGGCAGTTACCCCCAATGGAGTCCTTGAGAAGGCGGGTCAGTTTGCTGTCTCTGTAGGGCACGTGAGACTTGCGGCCCTGCGGGGCAGAGAGTGGGCATGGAGTGAAGTGGCTGGACTAGACAGACCCAGGCTGGGACCTGGCAGCCTCTGGCCCCGTACCAGAGGGAGAAACCCTTGGTCTACGCAGCTTTACCTTTGCATCAGCCAGGGCGTTGAGCACGTTGATGAGGGCCAGCAGAGAGCGGTTGATGTTGGCACCCTCCCGCAGCCGCTCCCCCTTCGCGTGGGTGCTGGATGCCCGCTCTGAGCCAGCTAGGTCAATCAGGCTCATCTTGGCCACACGAAGGGCCTGGGTCAGACCCGGAACTCGGTCCTGCTGTTTCACAAAGATCTGGGGACAGAGGGCAAGGGTGAGGGGGCGCTGGGCATCAGGAGGCCCGACGTGGGGCTCCGACCCACCAGTTCTCTCACCTGGAAGATGGCATGGGAGCGGGAGGAAGTGGCATTGGCGTCAGTGGGGTGCTGCGTACGGTTTCGGTTCCCTCTGGTCAGCATCTCCAGCAGCTGCTCAGCTGAAGTTGGCTACAGAGGAGATGAGGAGGAGGGGGCTGTGGTCTCCCCCATGAGCGCTTCCCCCATCAGGAAGGCTGCTCTTCAGAACCCATGTCACCCCCTTGCCGCAGGATCCGAGGCATCCCCAAACTGCAGAGGAGGGGGCTGTGGTCTCCCCCATGAGTGCTTCCCCCCAACAGGAAGGCTGCTCTTCAGAACCCCTTGCCGCAGGATCCGAGGCATCCCCAAACTGCCTGGAGAGGGAACCCTGGAAAAACAATGGGGCTGCTCGTGCCACCCAAGCCTAATTCCAAACCTGGTGGAAAGAAAGTCCTTGCACCATAACCCCCTTGTCGGGGTCCTCACGGATGGCAAGTGGCCCCTTGGGCTCCAGGAGGTCGTGGATCTGCTCATTGTACACCTGAGGAGAAGGGAGGCAAGGGGTAGACCTGAAGAACAGGGCCAGTCACGAAACCTTTTCCCTAGGGGGTGGGAGGGCTGAGCTGCTGGGCAGAGGAGGCACGGCCAGACACTACGAATCTGCGTAGCACTTTGTGGGATGATATTAAGTGACAAGAACAGGACGGTCAGGTTCATTTGAATACAGTATTAATTTGGTCGGGTTTAATTTGAATACAGTCTCTCTCTGAGCTGTAAGTGTCTTCTGGGCTCTCACTGGGCCCCCACTTCCTACTGCCCTCGCTCCACTCCACTCTTTCTTGAGGTGGTTGTGAGAATGAGGGATGGGGCCACCCAGCCCCAGGGAGGGGACAGCCCTACCTCCTGGTAGCTGATGAGCACCTCAAATTGCTTCTCCTCCTGGCGGGCCTCCAGGCGCCTATACAGTTCCATGGTGGTCAGGTACATGATGCCAGGGTCCCCCTCTCTTCCCAGCATGGTGTGTGTCTTCCCGGCCCCAGTGGCCCCATAGGCAAACACTGCAGAGGACAGAGTAGGGAGCAGGGTGGCAGCAGAGCCAGATCCACCATCTCTAGTGGCCTCCCCGCTATGCATTTCCACCCAGCTAGCCCTTCCTCCCACCCCAGCCCCTTTGTCTTCCATCTGCACAATTCCACTCCTCCTACCCACTCGCGTCCCCCACGTTTGCACTGTAGCTTTTGAGTTCTCCACATCTATGTCCTGGCTCCCCTGTAGGCCTGTGGATTCGAGGGCTCTCCACTGTGGTGGGGGCTTCTCCCTTCCTCTGGAAGCCTTCTCCAGGCCAGGTAGCTTCCTCTGTCAAAGGCCCACAGCTCTTTGCCTTGTATCACCTGCCTCAGTTTATAACCACACACTTGTGGGTGTAATTTCGATTAGTGTCTTTTCCCCCTGCTCTAGACCAGTAAGTATCAAGAGGACAGGAACCATGTCTGTCTGATCTGCTCTTGTATCCCAGGGCTCAGGAGAGTGCCTCGTACACACACGAGAAGAACGAACGGGGGACCCACAGAGAATGCAAGGGCCAGAGCCCTCCTCAACAAGTGCCCGGCCAAGGGGGAGGCGGGAGCCTGTTGGAAGACATGAGAAGGAAGCAGGGAGGCAGGGCAGCTACCAGCCAGGGCTCCTCCTCCTTGCTGCCCAGATTCTCACCTGAGCAGTTGTAGCCCTGGAGGAAGCTGTCCAGGATGCTGTGGGTGGTGTGCTGGAACACATCCCGTTGGGTGGCCGCCTCGCCAAAGACCCGGTCAAACACAAACGTCAGGTCTTTGCCCTTCTTCTTGGGGCCATCATGGGCGCTGCCCCATTTCAGGCCAAGAAAGCCCCCATAGGGCTCCTCAGGGTCAAAGACCAGTACCCGCTCGTCCACCACCTGAACCACAGGCCGCCGCTGGCTCTCCAACTCCCTTGCGGTTGGGGGCCGGACCCGCACCACAACCCGAACCACGCTGTCCTCCACTGCCATCACCACGGCAACACCTGGGCAGAGACACAATGGAGATGACCAATCTGACCTGCACCTCCCCAAATGCCTCTCAGCCTAGTATTCAAAGCCTCCTACCTCCTTCCCAACAGTTGATCTCCGTTTTATACCTCAGGAGAATAAGAATATTGATGTTAACACCAATCATTGATAAATATCTCTTTATCACTTGAAATACCACCTTTGTCATATCCAAATGACTATTTTTTTCAGAGGCCTATTATCAGGCTTCCTATTATATTCTACTCACCTGTCTACTTCTGTGCCAATACCACGCTGTTTCCATTCCAGTCCTTTACAGTATGCTTTTCACCTAGTAAGGCAGGATGCCCACACACACTACTCTTCCTTTTTCATAATTTTCTTGGCTATTTTCAGACATTTATTGTTCTGTTTGACTTTAAGAAAACTATCAATTCCATCCCCAACCCAGAACATCACCTAGCCTCCTCCAAAAAAAAAACCCTTAAGATTACAGTCGAAATTATATTAAATTCACGTATTTATTTTATATTAAGTCTTTTCACGCAAAAACATGGCTATTGCCTTTCTATTTGTTCAGATATTTTTTATGTTCCTCAATAAGATTTTATAGTTCTATATCTCTTCAGATAAGTTCTGTAATTGCCCTTTTAATATAATTCCCAAGTACTTTATGGACTTAATTGTTCTTAATGAATGGAACACCTTCCCCTACCTCCATTTCCAGGCGGTAATGATTTCCATGATTGATTTTTATATATCTGCCTTATAACCACCACCCTCAAACTCTCTTATTTTTTAAAATTTGTTAATTGTTTATTTACCAGGAGAAACTATTCCTTAGCCCAAATATTCATGCTTTCTAGTTCAGGAACACAGGTCAGTGACACACTTCCATGGACGTCAACTCAAACAATTTCTTTACATTCTGAAATCATTTTGCACTCTGAAAGAGGCCAACCTTTCTCGTCTCCTCGAAATCTTTCCTGGAATCATAATTTCTGTAGAAATCTGCATATTTCTTCTTCCTTGGTTCAGTCACAACAAATTTATAGAAAGCTGAACCCCCAGGGGTATAATGATTGCTCCAACAATATTACATCATAGATGCTTGACCAGAAGGCCACGCATATGAGGTTTCGTCAAAGCACGGGAAGGCATGGTAGTTATAGCTTTCCTTAATACCAAAGTCCTTCCTGATGGAGATCAAACTCTCTTATTAATTCCATTTTTTTTTTTTAAATTAGGGCTTATGGGGTTTTCTGAGTATGCAATTATATATGAGAAAATAAATATATTTTTTTAAACTTTTTTCTCTATATTTATATCAAGTATTTTATTTTGTCTATTGCAATCCCTAGAACTTCCACGCCAACAATGAATAATAATGATGACCATGGGCATCCCTGTCTTGTTCTTGATTTTAAAAGAAATGGCTTTACCAGATTGATGAACACTTGGAAATTTAAAAAGAGTGGTGTTCTCGGAGAGGGCATGGACGCTCTGCACACTTTCCCCACACCTTGCCTTGTGCATCTCTTCTCAGGCTGTTCCTGAGTTATATACTTTTATAATAAACCAGTAATATAGTAAGTAAAAAAAAAAAAAAAAAAAAAAAAGGAAATGGCTTTAGTGCTTCACTATTTCAAAATTCGTTTTGGATGAATAGTCATTATCATGTTAGTAATATATTCTATTCTTATTTTAGTTAGAGTTGTTACTAAGACTGTCCAGAATTTTGCATAATGCTCTTTCAGCATCTCCTGATATGTGTTTATTCGTCTTTGTTTTGTTGATGTTGTAAATTATTTAAAACTATTTCTGGTAGCAAACCAACCATGCATTCTTAAAAAAAAAACAACAAAAAAAATCCTACCCTGACCATCCCAAAGTTTAAAATTTTTACTTTCTTCTTTTTTTCTGTTTGTTTCTGAAGTTTAAAGTTTTTAAATGGTCAAATGTGTCAACCTTTTCTTCTATGGCTTTTATATTTTATTTTAAAAGATATTCATTCCTCAAGGTAATAAACACTTATATTTATTATATTTTTCTCTAATAGTCTTTCTTTCTTACAGTTAGGTCTTTATATAGATGGAATTTATTTTTTGTGAATGGTGCGAGGTTTCTAAGTTTCATTCTAAATGATAAGCAATTATCCCAAGATCATTTATTAAATAATGTGTTCCTTCTCCAATTTGAAAGGCTACATTTAGCAAAACTAAATTCTCATATAAAAATAAATTTGTTTTTGGATTCTCCATTCTTTTCTATTGATGTGTCTATTTTTTCCAGTAACTCACTGTTGTAATTACTGTAGTTCTATATCTCACTGCATTGTTCTTTTCCTTGGCTATTCTTGGCCATCTTACCTTGAATAAGATTTTAGAATCAGCTTATAAACTTCTATGAAAAATCTTGCTAAGATTTTAATTGGGATTACTCTGAATTTATAGATTAATATGAGAATTGACATCTTTATACTATCAAATATTCCCATCTAGGAACATAGTATCTCTTTTCATTATTCACAACTTTATAATCTTCAGTAAAAATTTTATAATTTTATAATTTTCCTCACTTGAGTTTTGTGTATTTCTTGATAGGTTTATTACTAGTTGTTGTATAGTCTTCATTGTATTGTGAACAGGCTCTTTTTAAAATTGCATTTTCTAATTCATTTTTACCAGAATATAGGAAAGCAACCAATTTCCATATGCAGATCTTGTATCTGGCCACATTACTGAAAACTCCCTTATTAGTTCTAATAGATTGTGATTGATTCTCTTTAGGTTTTTCAATTAAATGATGATACAGTTTGCAAATAATGAGTTACTTTCTATTTTTAGCTCTTCTATATTTAGTTCCCTACCCTTCGCTGTCCATTAGAAATGAGCGTTAAATTTTATCATATGCTTTTTTGGCAATGGCTGAGATAATCACACAATGTTTCTCTAATCTGTTATTGTAGAGGGTGACATGGACTGATTTCCTAATGTTGACCTGGTAATAATTCCAAATACATATTTGCTTATTCCCTCTTGTATTCCCTTCAGACCTCTCCCCTTGGATTTTTTCATTTCTCCTTCAAGCCAGCCTACCAAGGGTAGAGATGGAATTTTTGGCATGCAGGAGCCACAGATATCCTGGAAAAGTTCAACCCAACTCTAGAGATATATTAACAGGGGTAAGGAACAGGGGCTGTTCCTGGGGGATATGAATAGATGACTGCTTTCCCAGGAAAGGCTAGGTCTCGCTGACAGGACCAAGGTCATTCAGAAAAGACAAGTGGACTTTCTACCTAATACTTCTGCGAACAACTCATGTTTTCCTTTGGGAATGAGGCAGAATTGAGCTGATTTGAAACTCCCGTCTCCCACCTCCAAACTTCGTAATT